ATACTCATAGATTTCTATGTTCAACAGATCACTTGGAACATTTGGGTGAGCACAATTTCCTTTATCCTTGCTTTTCTTGGTGAGCTCCCATTCATTCTTCAGACTTTTTTCAATTGTCTACTCTGTAAAACTGTCTTCTGTCTCTGAGTTTTTTCTTCAAAAATAATGAATTATTCTCTTCACAGTATCATTAAAGTGCTAGATTATACTGGAGAAATCAAGGAAGGCTTTCCAAAGGATAAAACATCTAAGCAGATATCTAAAACATGGGTGGACACTGGCCAGGTATATAGTTGGGGAAATAGTGATTTCCAGGTCAGATACTGGAGGGCGGCTGTATGTGTCATTCTTCCTTCTGGACTATATGATCCCACCAAGACAGGGATCTGTACCTAACCCTATATTGTATTTTATCATAATACCAGATACAGAACAAGTGCCCAGTAAGGTCTTGGTATAGGAAGGAGGAAGGAAGGAAGGAAGGGAGGCAGAACAGAAGGATAGGATTTTAGTACTTTAACTTTCCTCTTGTCAGTTTTCTTTCATGGACACCCTTAAAATATTTCACTCACAAAAGACCTCAGGCCATCTATCTCACTGCTACCGAAGGGCAATGGTCAAACATACCATTTATCAAAAAAGAAGAGTGAAAAGAGTTATAATAGCACTGCCAGCATTTTCAGAGTGAGAAGAGTGAGAATAAGGCAGATTCATAATTAATTTACTCTATATTTATACCATAGTAGCTAGGAGCTGCTAACTATATGTATATATACATAAGATATATAAATATACATATATTACATATATATATATCCAAACTTACAGATAATATAAGGAATATCTCACCCATAAATTGATAATAAAAGCCAGCCCCCACCCCAAAAACATATCTCCAAGTGATTAAAATACACTCCTATTGGATTTATGTATTAATTGAAAAAAAATCATGTGTCCATGGGTGAATAAAATATGCATCCTGACCTCTAGTACCTAAATGCACAACAACAGAGAACAATGATTATTTCAAAATAAAGAGCTATGGGAAATTTGAGCAGAGGGAGAATATATCTGTCTGAAAAGATTAGGAAACAGTTCATTGAAGAGATGATAGCTGCACTGGGGATTAAGGATAAGCAGCATCTGAACAAGGGAAGAGAAGAATGAACATTTTAAATTTCATGACCAATGATCCACAGGGGGGAAATGATGGAGATGGCCACTGAGGACTGTGGTGACCATTCGTGCTGTTCACCAATATCTGGTTTTCTAGTCCTTGTGTGACATGGTAGGTTTACATTTCTTAGCTTCTCCTATGGTTAGTTAGAGCCAAATGACCAATTCTGGCCAGTGGGTTGTGAACTGAAGTGACATTTGTCACATCGGTACCATAACATTTAATTGCTAATGTGAGATCCCCTAAAGCTCTTTCCACTCTTTCCTGGGATGTGGAGACCGGCAACATTTAAGATGATGACTACTCCCTTAGGCTGGTCTCTGAGTGACCGCAATGAACAGAGAACATCCTTGCTGACTGGAAATGACTATGTAATATGTGTGAGAAATAAACCTTTGTTATCTTAAGACACTGAGATTTTTGGAGTAGTTTATTACCATACTTTAACCTAGACCATTCAGGCAGGTACAGAAACAATGAGATGTTCCATTTGATAGGCATATGTGGCATGAAGAAGTGATGAAGAAGTGATAAATAAGTTTGGAGGGTAAACAAGTCAATTTGCAGAGAAGCATGAATTCCAACTTGAAGATTTGGGACTTTATTTTATAGGCGATATAGAGCTGTTAAAAGCTTTCAAACAGGGAAATATTATGAACAGAACTGTGCTTTAGGAAAATTAATCAAGCAGGATAGAGAATGCCTAGGAAGCGGAAAGACACTTAGAAGCAGGGAAACAAGTTATGCTATTGTGAAAAGTCTAGAAGTCATGGGGTTTAAACTAGGGCAGTGGCAGTGGGAACCAATTTGGCAGAATGAATGGAACAGTAATTTGCAGGTCCTGGCAACTGATGAAGCCCAAGGGACTTATAAGTCATTCCAAGATTTGGAGCCTGGATGATTGTTAAGATGATGCCACTGCTACTTAAATAGGAAGCAGAGAAAGGGGAACAAATTTGAGAGAAAAAAGTGCAAATTTAGGTCAAGCATGACACCCAGCTGGCAAAGTCCAGCAGAAAACTGGAAACAAACTGAATATAGATTTGAGAGTCATTTGGGAAGTGAAGCCACAATACAAATGAGATTGTTAAGGGAGAGAGAAAAAGGAAAACTAAGGACAGAACTTTGTGGAACACTACATTTAGACAACGAAAAAGGGGAAAAAACAGAGATAGCAAGAAAGGTGTATTTTCACAAAGTCAAGAGATGAGGGAATTTTAAGGAAAATGGGGCAGGCAATTAACAGCACCAAAAGTCAGGGCAGATTTAAAATGAAGATTTTTTTTACTCTATTAGATTTGGTGACTTTTAAGAGAGAAGTTTCAGGTGATAACTACAGTTAGCAGGTGATAACCAGAGGAAGTAGCCAATATTCAAAAGACTGTGAAGTAAACAGTGGAAAACAAATTGAGATTGTGGTTTCTTCAAACAGCAGAAAAATATTTAGCAGTTAAAATGAATGAACTAAATGATTACATAAGGAAACGTGATATATCTCAAAAAATATTGAGTAAAAATGCAAATTTCAAAATTACACATACTGTATGATTACACTTATTAAACTTACCAATAATAATGTCATTTAATGTTTATGAGTACATGTGCGTTATTTATACAAATAAATATAAACACATGAAATTATGGATAGTATTGATACTTACATCTGGGAAAGAAGGAAGAAAGGATGGGGAAGATTTAGCAGTATCTGTGTATTGTTTCTTAAAAAAAATCAGAAGCAAAATAAAAACGAGATGAAGAAAGAAAATGTAACCTGTTCTTTAAATATGTTAAATGGTGAAAGAAAAGCAGAAAGTAGATAGTAGCTTGAGAGAAAACATATGGAAATGTATATATTTGTCTCTTCAAGATGCCAGGAGACTAGAGAATATTTGTATGATGGAATAACATATTTTTGTCAGTAAAGACAGACATTGAAACAATATGAAGAAGAAAGCAAGATGTCAGAATCGAGGAAAGGAATGAATGAAAGATGTTATGTGTAAGGGTTAGGCTTAGAGAGGAGAGCAATGCTTTCTAGTATGACCTCATTTGCCCTTACTTTCTTCTAAATATTTTATACTCCAGCCAATATGGGCTCCTCACTGCACCTCTAAGCCTACTTTTCTCACCTCTTTGCCTTCTCATGCCCATCTTTTGATATTCTACTCCAAGGTCAACTAGGTCAACTATTCCATTAATCCTAATTATCTTGTCATATTCCGCACTTTTATAACACTTTACATATTTCTTCTGGCTCGTGCCATAGTTGATTATTGTTTATTTTTTCTAACTCTGTACATGTCTTACCTCCATGAATTTGTCAGAGTTCTTATGTACAAGCAACAAGAATCACTTTACCTAACTTGGGTGGAAGATGAATTTATTGAAGAATATCAGATGGCTCATAGGATCAACAGGAAATTTGAGAGCCCACCTCAAAAAGGGGCCATGGACCTAGGGAAGCTAGCCAAATGCAATCACGTCCAAGGTTGAAAGATGAAAGCAATCTGGGTACAAGTCTGCAAGCGGCACCACAGCCCCTGGATTCTCAACTCCACTGTATCTTTTTGAGTAGTTTTTCAGCTCTTTGATTTTTACATCACTTCCTCAGTATTCTAGTCTCAGGACCAGAGCACTAACCACATCCTTGATCTCCAGCAGCCTAGGAGTGGGAGGGAAGAGGACTTCTTCATCTCTACTAATTGAAGGCAAAATGCAAATTCCCGCCAGGATTCATATAGTGGGGGATTTTTTTCCCAAAATAAACCATTAATTGATTAATTAACTGGCTGTTTAGAATTTAGGCACTAAAGCCTCATATTTGATTGGGTCTTTTTCATTTTGGGATTTCCTAACATACTGTAAGTGCTGAATATAAATTTACAGAGTGAATGAAGTAACTAATGTAGAAGGCATATATTTAGCTTATGTCAAATTCCAAAGAAAAAATTTATTCTATGATCTTAAGGAAATTATGACCTCCTTAGCTTCAGTTTCTTAAATGAAGAAGAGAAGATAATAATTCCCACCTTGAAGAGTTCTTGTAAGGGCCAGAAATAACTTAAGTTACTTACTTAATATGGTGCCTGGCACATAGAAAGCACCCAATAAAACAGTAGTTACTATTTTCACTTTCCCCATTAAAGATGAAGAAGAAAATGTTAGTGATATTATCTTTCCTGTATGCTAGACCATGAACCAGAGAGGTATTTCCCTGCAGTATTGAGGTTGATTGCAAGGAGAAGGGAGCCAGACTTTCCGGATTCAAATCATAGCTATGCCGTAAATCAACAAACTAGGGGGTGACTTTGGGCAACTTACTTAACTCTGCGGCACCTCCATTTAATCATCTATAAAATGGAGATGATGAAGCTGATGTTGAAGATAATTATGATATGATAACGTTGATGATGATGCTGGTGAATATGATTATGTTAATAGAATCTCCCTCATGGTTATTGTGAACATTTAGTTAATAAACATAAACTACTTTTAACAGTGTTGGTGCATACTAATGAATTTATATGTATTTTAGGCTGTATGTTAGCTATTGTTATTAGTACCAGGGTTTTTTTTTTTAATCGTAGAGTTTTTCCTCCCTTGGTGGGCCCAGTCCTTCTCATGAAATGCCACAAATTTGCCACTTGACTGCCCTTATGATAGTTAAGGATAGACTCTGTGATCATGCAATAGCTCAAATTAATTACACTTGCCCAGATAAGGGAGTACTCCAACGCTTGTCCACATTAGCACAGTGATCAAACCAAAGAATATTTATATTCTCTAGTTCATTCAACAATGAATTAAACTATTAAGTACTTACTATATGTGCCAGACTTTTGGGACACAGCAATGAACAAAAGCAGCAATGTCTTTGTTCTCATGGAGCTTCCACTTCTCATACACTGTTGAATCAACAAATTATATGCTAAATTTTGACGTAAACATTTCAGACTGTGCTCCTAATAAACACATGACTCAGATATAAAATAAATACAATAAAAATTCCCATAGTTTGGGAACTGACTACATTTCCTTAAGCTAAATTACCTTTAAGCTCTTCCTGATGCTAAGATGCAATGATCCCACTAAGCCCACTAACAGAGAGCAGTGATGTGCCTGCTCAGTGATTACGAACTAAGATTTTTTTAGTATTTCTTTGCTACGTGGCACTCTGTTAACTGTTTTACATATATTTGTCTAATTCTCATAATAAGCCTACAAGCTAATTTCTATTTTGACACCCATTTTATACATGAGGAAACAGAGGCAAATGTCATCTTGGGAATAAGCGGCAGAGCTTGATGATGAACAGGAGGTGCTCCCAACTACCATACAACTTGAACACCCACAGCAGGATTTAAAGAATGGCCACAAAGCTCCATGTGCTTGCTCATCCATGATATTCCCCACTCCCTATGATTCTTGGTTAGATAAATCATTCCCTTGGCCCTTACATGATCCTCCACTGAATTTATGAGAGGCCCAAAGACTTGTTTTATTAAGTTCATGTTCTTGACATACACCAGAACTATTAGCTCCCATCCCCACCCCACAGCTACCACTGCATATATACAGCCTCACCAGTATAATCACTCTAAAAGACAAACCCCCAAAAGGAAGCTATAGTTATAAGTGATACCCACCTTCCCTAAAAGACCATCTGGACGAATTTTACCATGGCTTACCTCAGTCTTCCCTATCTACCTCAGTCATCAATAAAAACTCAATTCCCCAGAATCATTCATCAACAGCCTCTCTTTTCCATGTATCTTTGAATCTAACCCAATCCTCATCCCACCCAACTCCATACTCTTTTTTTTTTTTTTTTTTTTTTTTTCGGTATGCGGGCCTCTCACTGTTGTGGCCTCTCCCGTTGCAGAGCACAGGCTCCGGATGCACAGGCTCAGCGGCCATGGCTCACGGGCCCAGCCACTCTGCGGCATGTGGAATCTTCCCGGACCGGGGCACGAACCCGTGTCCCCTGCATCAGCAGGTGGACTCTCAACCACTGCGCCACCAGGGAAGCCCCTCCATACTCTTTTAATGTGCCCTCCAAAAGTCGTGTCCTGCCATCAACAAAACCTCCTACATTCTGAATGCAAATTTCTAAGCATTCCATTTATCATCTCTCTTTAACCAAAAGCTGGCTTTCCCATGAGGGCTCTACCTCCCCTGTTTCCCTCTCAAGTGGTGGATGTCTGCTTCCCACATGCCACAAAACACAGAGCCTGAAAGTAAAGAAGATATTCCCTTTGCTCTTTCTACTTACAGAAAATTTCCACTCTCTTTCCCTCAAAAACTCCAACTCTTTTCAGCTCAGGCCATCAAACATGTAACATCATCTTGAAGTTGTCTACCAAAGTTCTGTTTATTCTTCCTATTTCATTGATTCATTTATATAAAAGTGTGACTGGAATAGATTTGAGAGAAAAACGGAAGAGATTAATTGAAAACAGTAGATATAAACAACTGTTATAAGGAATTTTGTTCAAAGAGAGAGTAGAGAAATGAGGAGGTACCTAGAAAGGGCTAAGAAGTTAAGAGATTTCCTTTGTTGTTACATTGTTTTATTTTGATTTTCATGATGGGAAAAATAATAGCATGTTTATATACCGGTAAGAATTTTTCTGTAGAAAAGGGAGGCAGAAGATGGAGGGGAAACTTTCTAGAGCCATATCCTTAAGTAGATGAAAGAGGAGGATTATACTGATATGCTAGACGTAAGTGATAGAACTGGCATTAGAAGCTGGCTCACTGTCTTCCTCTACTCTTAGCATCAATCTTAGTTATTTTAAGCATCCATATAGATTTGAAAATTTGAAATCCTGGCCCTCCTGTCCTTCAGGCAATTATCTTGTTTATCTTGTCTTCTCTCTACCTCAGCCACCATTCCTCATAGTCCTATCCTACAAATTCTACATTATAATTACTTCTTTGCCTACAAAGCTCCTCCTCCCTCTATCGTACTCTCTTAGCAAAACTCCAAACCTGGTTAAATCCATTACACAAATGGATTTTGTTTAAAAAATTACAAACATAAAGTCACAGTGAATGGCTTCACATAAATAAATGACCACAAATATCAAGTAGACCCTCAGCAAGCTGGGCATTCTGATTACATATTTCCCTAGTTAATTCATTTTCCCATTCTCTCAGAGTATTTCATGCCTTTTCCTTAACTTTCAATTCCTCTTCCATCTACTCACTCTTAGCTGATGATTCTATCTCTAACATTAATGAGCTTTAATATTAATGAAATTAAATTTTAAGAAACTACCAACTTTCCTGCAAATATTTCAATATACATTTGACCTATCTCCTGATAAAATGAATGAAATGTCCCTGCTTCTGGCTAAGTCTAACTTCTCCATACTGTGCCTAGGTCTCATTCCCATTTACCTCCTTGCCTCCTACACTATCTATCCCTCTCTACTGGACCATTTCCATTTGCATACAATCATGTTGTAATCTTTCTCTCTCTCTCTCTCTCTCTATATATATATATATATATATATACATAAAACATATTATAATTTATATATTATGTATTTGTATATATACTATATATTTTACATATAGTTGTATATAATACAAATATGTATATATTTGTATATATTATTTATATATATGTATATTATATATATTATATATTAAATACTTATTAAATAAATTATTTATTGAAGGCCAATTGATACCTCTTTTATTAAGGTCACCAACAAGCTCTGTGTCGCCAAGCCAATAATCGATGAATGATCTTTATCTTTCATCACTTCTTTATAGAACTTTATAGAACTCAACACAGGTGATCACATCTCACTTCTTGGAACACTTTTTTCAGTTGATTTTCTTGATATTACTAAACCACTGACAGTCTATTCTCTTTCTGGTTTGTACTCTAAATGTTAGCATATCCCAAGACTTTAACCATCTCTTTCACTCTATTATACCTCCTTAATTTTCTCACCTAATCTCATGACTCTCAAATTTATATCTTCAGTCTCAACCTCTTTTTTGAAATCCATATTTTTTCATCAACTGCCTACTCAATATTGCCATTGGAAATCTCTTAGTTTCTCAAGTGTAACATGACTAAAGTAGAACTCCTATTTCATCTCCCTGATTTGTTCGTACTATCGTTTCTCAGTTCAGTAAATGACAGCATCATTAGTCCAGTTGCATGAAACAAAAACCTATATGTCATCCTTGAAAATTTGCTTTTCTAATTTTTCTTGTCCAGTTCTTCCTTCAAAGTATAGTCTGAACCTAATCATATCTTGCCACCTCACGGCTACCACTGGATTCCAAGTCTCCTTCATCTCCCTTTTAAACTACTGCAATAGCCTCATAACTTACCTCATAGCTTCCACTCTTTCCCCTACACAGTAGCCAGAGGGAACTTATAAAACCTCCATCATATTACATTTTATTACTAACCATCTAAACTCTCCTCTCAGCAATCCAATATACTCAAAACCAAATTAGAACTCCCAATTCTTGCCTTCATCATCCAGTTCTTGCTATTTTTCCAGTCTCCTTTCCTGTTATGTTCCTTATTGCACACAATTTATCTACAGTGTCCTTCTTACACTTCCTTGAATACATCAAGGCTTATTCCTACCTCAGCACATTAACGCTTGCTGTTCTCTTTGTCTGGAACAAAGTTTTGATCTTCTAATAACTTGTTCCATCATTTTATTCATGCCTGTATTCAAAGATAATGAACTTTCCCTGACCAACCTATCTTTGATATCTCCCCTTTCATTTATAATTCCTTTACACTACTCTATTTTTCTTAATTTACAACTACTAGAAACTACATTAAATAATTTCTTAATTTGGGGTTTTTTCCCTGTCTCTATCACTAGTATATTAGACCCACCAAGGCAAGAATTCAGTGCCTAAAACAACTTCTAGCGCTTATAGGCATTCAATAATGATTACGTTAAATCAGTGAGTAGATGAATGACTTCAATTTTTTTTTTTTTTTTTTGTGGGCCTCTCACTGTTGTGGCCTCTCCCGTTGCGGAGCACATGCTCCGGACACGCAGGCTCAGCAGCCATAGCTCACAGGCCCAGCCACTCTGTGGCATGTGGGATCTTCCCGGACCGGGGCACGAACCCGTGTCCACTGCATTGGCAGGTGGACTCTCAACCACTGCTCCACCAGGGAAGCCCTCAATTTTTTGTTTTAATGTTTTTTATCCGGACATTTCAGATTCACGGTTTTATTCCCCCATTAGAGTTAAGCTATATCTTCATCTATTTTTCATTTTATATGGCAGATGTGGACATAGTTTTAAAGTATTTTGTATATAACTCCAATGATTTCTGATTTAAAAACTTAAAGGTCATAAACAAACAACAGATCAAAAGTAGCTAGTATGTAAGTTGAAGCATCTAAGTAAATGTTTTCGTTTTAACACAGTCCTTGCAAAGCACAAAATTAGCTTGGCTATTGATTTTTACAGAATACCATTTAGAATCGTTGCTAAGGGTTAAATATAATTTACATGAATTCAGCAAGAGAGAACAAACTTGAATCATCTGATGTCACCAGTCAACAGACTTTCAAGAATATCTATTATTATATGCTAAGAATTTGTGCTGGGCATTTGTATTTTGTGTGGAATATAGAAACAGTGAAATAAAGTTCCTTACAAGAAAAGTTTATAATTTAGTTGCTGCTACAAAACACATGTACACGAACAATCTTTAGAAACATGTCCAAGCCACATACAAATGAGAACACACTTGAACTAGCAATGTATGTTAGGATAGGAAAGGGATAAAACCAGCAAATTATTTTTAAAGGGGGCCAATTTAATCATAGAGATGGATAATTTTTCAAGGTGTCAAATGAACACAGCAGAGAAGTGAATGAA